GGTGTGGATATAAATTTGATTTTGTACTTGTTCTGAGGCAGTTAGACCCATCATCAGGTGGCTGTGTTTTGGGTTAACGTCAGGCATCCCGGCCAGGGTCGATCAGTGCTTGTGTACTTAATGGATTTCTCCTCTTGATTCATTGCCATCTTGACACAAGCCAGGTAGGATTTACAAAATAAAAGGATAACTGAGCTGCTGAGAGGTATCGAGTGGTGATGAGCAGGTTTCAGCCGACAGCTGCCAAGTTGCTGGCATCGCATCATGCAGCATGTGTTGGCTGCGAGTTTTGGCAACATGCTCGTTTATTTTTCCTGCAAGGCTGTTAAGATGACAGTGTGTGAAGGGTGTGTGTATTAAGGTTACAGCCATGTTATAGGTTTTCTGATGCCAATATTAGCCTTGCAGTTAAACCCAGATGTTGGCCAGATAGTGGAGTCTGCTGCCAATATGACAGGGAGAAAGGTGTGATTTTACTCAACCATATTGTAAAGCCTGCAGTGATTCCTTCTTTAAGGATCTGTTTACCTGGCTGAACTCAGCTATTTGTTTTAATAGTGAGTTTTCTAAGACACCAAGGTCACGTTTTACTATTTTACTGCATTTCTGTAGACATTATATAAACTAGGACTGCAACTATCTTTTTTATTTTCATTATTGATCATTGATTATTTTCTACATTCATTTCTACATCCTTTACTATAAAATGTATAAATATGCTAATTATAAATTATAAAACCCAAAAATATTTAGTTCACTATCATGTCGGACAAAGAAAAGCAGCAAATCTCCACATTTTAAAACCTGAAACCGAAACATGTCTAGAATATTTAAATTAACCGCTTATCAAAGTGCTAGAATTGCTAACTAAATTTCTATTGATTCATTTAATCAGTTAATTTCAATAAACTCCGTTTTAGGGTCACATGAGGGTCTAATTTTTTTTATTTCTTTTCACCCCAAAGGTAATAAAATCTGAAGAGATACCATACTTTATTATTTATACATAATTTATCTATTGCATAAAAATGAAAAAATCAGTAGTTGAAGCTAAATATGTATGTACTGTCAGCATATGATTTGTGTGCAGTCACTTGAGTTCATATAAATTAACATTCACTGCCACCTCCAGTACCAGTCGTGTACCTCCTGTTGGGTTCAGATGATCAGTATTCGCCTCCCTCTCATCCACTTCCTCTGGTGTCTCTGTGTAGCTGCATCCAAACCGTTAGCAGTCAGACAAAGGAAATTGGTTGCTAGCCCAAGGAGATATTGGGCCTTACAAGGTCAGCTAGAGATCCTCTGCGAGATTTCTTTCTTTATGGAGAGCTGACAGGAGAGAGCAGAGGAGATGCTCGGCCTGCAGGGGCTCCAAGATGAGCTGGTCCTGCCTCGCTCCTCAGTGACTAATGCAGGATAAAAAATGGAAAAAACTAAAATCCACTGAATTGAAAACTTGCCTGACTGGAAGATATTTGACTCACCAGAATGATTCAACTGAATATTTACTGAAAGTTCAGAACCACCCAACTAAGGACTTTGAAGTTTTCAGTTGTTCAGAGTTTAGTAGGCGCAGATTGTGGTGACACAGTGTCATCAGTTTAATACTGCCAGTATGTTAAAGTCCCCCTTCACTCAAAAACATGTTTTTCTTTTTGTTCCTACAGTTGGATGTTTGAGCTTTACTGTGCAGAATAATGTATGTGTAGAGTTTGACACTAAAAGGATGACCTTTGTATTCCAACTGGTCACCATAGTGCCACCCCGGAGTTTCAGATCCGTTGTTGGCCATGATTTGCCTGACCCAGTCAAATCTCTTTGATTTAAGACAAAAACCCCTTGAGTCTGCACAGAATCTGCACTCATCACAACAGGTCCTCTAGTTCAAGCAGTTCCAAGGCTGGTCTTCACCTCAGCATGAGCTGTCCCAGATGCTCCTCAGTTTTTAAACATGTTTGATTCTCTCGTAGCCAAAATCAGCATGCGCTTGTAGCTGGAGCAGCTTGGAGATGAGTCTGAGATGGAAGCACAACTGGGAACCAAATCAGGGCAGGGAGGGTGGCAGAGGGCCCACATACACACACTCAGAGGACCAAATTAAAATAGTGCAGCATGCAGCCACTAATTACATTTTTAATGCAAAAGGAGTCAGTAAACAAGCGTCATTGTATTTCTGTAATTCCTTCAAAGAATTATTAGTTGAATAATAGTTTATTTTTTGCTTTCTGGTCTTCAGTGAGATTTCTGTAGATTAAAGGTTAATTTGTGATTTATTTTCTCCACCGCAACCTCCCTTGTGGCTTTTGTAAATCCCATCTGTTCTATTTGTATGCATGCTCTTTTGTTTGGTACATATAACCGCCTGTGTCTGGGGCAGAATGCATCCAAAAAAACTGAAAATCTACCCAACAGTTTATTGAATATCGCAATCATTTTATCCAATGAGGGATTTATCCAAGTGGAATAATCTTGTAATCAATACACCCGAGATCAGTTGTGTGGCATGGCAACAGTACTACTATTCTAAGACTCTAAGAAATTGTGTATTTAAGTGATCAAAATTGTTGATGCATATATTTCATAGTGTAGTTCACAGTCTATGTTTTACCTGAATGATTAACAGACACAATAAAGGAAATGAGTTCTTGCTGTAACAGTAACCAAGATTCAACAGATTCAGTTAATTATTCAGAAGGAAATGATCACATGCAGTACAATCAAACTGTTGCTTAGTTATTTCATTTTTCAAACCGGTGTGTAGTGCAAAATACAAAAACATACATATATAGTTTGATTCAGTGCTCATTGAGTGTAGTTCTTTAATGCCACTTGTGCATCTGCTCCAGCAACCTGCTATGAATGGTGAAATTGTGCAAAAGTAGGCTCTTCTCTGATCTTTGTCTTCTGAAGCATGAACTGAGGGCTGAGAGACTGACACAGCAGCAGCAAGAACCAATCGGCTACCTCCGCTGTCCTAGCTGTCCAATCGGCAACTCCCCCACCCAGCCTTTCATAACCATGTTGTGCACACTGTATTATATATATATGTGTGCATTTTCATACCGTGTGTGTGAAATACATTTTAATTGGTATAACCTTAACTTGATATTCAGTGAATCACTCATAGTTGATAAACTCAGACCTCGTTTATACAGGTCTTCTCATTAATGCAGCTATTAAACACATGTTGTCAAGCTGTCATGTGAAATACTGTAGCATATATATGCTTGTTGTAATTCATAGTTTATCTCATTTATGTGTACAGTGCATTAAACTTATTTATGCATACAAATTATGTTGGGCCAGTAACAAGATATGAGTCTGATCCTGACTGCATTTCAAGCAACCCAAAAAGCTGCTCACCTGTGTAGAAATGGTGAAAATCAGCAGTTCTTGTGTCCACAGTATTGGTACCTGTATTGTTCACACTCCTATGGAGTACTAACACAATCCTCTCATCTGATACTTTAAACCGCCTTTAAAAACGTTCATTATTAAGATGAAGGTGACATATGCATGAAATAAGGACATTTAAGGGGTAAAACAATAAAAACATTTTTAGGCTTTTGAACGGCGGGAACAAATGACATAACATAACATAATAATAACGTCATTCGTTAACTTTAGAAAGGCTAGTAGGATAGTAGGAGTAGGATGTTACCTTTGGACAGAACCAGGCTATCTGTTTCCCCCTGTTTCTAATGATTGTGCTAGGTTAACCGTCTCTCAGCTGAAGATCAATATTGACCATACAGATGTGACAGCGGTATCAAACCTTCAGCAGGAAAGTGAATATGCGTTTTCCCCAAAATGTCTAAGTATTCCTTTAAAGGTTTAACTCCTGACTGAAGTCGAGGGATCTGCGTTACAGGTCCAGTGTGAAATATAATGTTTATGTATGTTTCCATTAGTGTTTAATCACCTGAAGATAAGAATTGTTGTGTTTTGGTTACTTTATAACAAGGCATTTTTATTTACATAGGGAACGGGTCCTCTTCTACAGGGTCCACACTGTTAATCCATGTTTCTACAGTAGCCCAGAATGAACAAACCAAACACTGAATCTAGACTGGGACTTTGGTGACTGAGTTTTCCAGCCACTGAAGTTTCTCCTATATGATTGGAAGGCGTAATATAATGAAAGTTGAATCTTTACCAGCTACTATTCACTATCCTGTGTTCCTCCAACCAGTGTAAAAGAAGAAAAACATTACAGATTAAAATGCAGGTAAATTGAGCATCATCCATCTCAGCACCTGCAATCCTTTCTGACCTCCACCAGGTGGAGACAGTGCACAGCATTTAGATGCTGACAGTTGAGCAAGGACATTATGTAACTTCAGATTCCCCCCCAACTGCTCTGCACAGTCACTCTCTGACCCCTTGGTGGACAGTCACGTCCTCCCAGAGCTCTGAGGGGGTTTGGATCTGTCAGGGAGAGACAGCAAAGACTCTAAAGCCTGTCACCAAAAAATACACAGGATGCATGTTTCTGCTTGAGATGCTCATCACACCTTAACCTCAAGAGAGATGCTGCCCACACCCGGCCTGACCAACCATTAGTCCATAAGAGGCAAAGTCTGTACTGATTTCCCAGTGGCAGTGCATGTCTTTCCTGGATAGTGTTTGTTATCACAAACACTATCATATCATATGCCCATCATATGCTACTAATTTAATTTAATTTCACATCATGACAAAGTGTATTCATAATAAAATTAAAGGATTGTGATAAAAATATATATAGAAATTACCATAAAGGTCACCATAAACTCATCTTTGACCTTCACTGACTTTGAGAATATCACTTTAACCAGATTTTTTTTGTCACTTCTCTTTAAATGTGTGTGTTTGAGCTCTTCTTCTGTGTTATATTTGTGGTTCGATATCATATGAGGGCCACACCTTTCCCTCATCCGCTTGCAATATATAGCCTATCCTACCTGGAGGATTGCTATGGCAACAGGTTGCCAGTAGCGACGGGGTACCACTACATCTCTGCGTGTGTCTGCGGGGATGAGCGGCGCGTCAGGACGAGGAGGAAGGAGAGAAAAAACACACAACGGAGCAGCAGAGAGGGTGAGGTGTGCCCGGCTCAGTCAGCATACAGAAAAATAACCACTGCGAGCTTTTTCTGTCATGAAGTGAGGAGCCCTGCGGTCCGCACCGACGCTTCTTGTTGCTGTTTCGGTTGAAAAAAAGAGGAAAAAAGAGTGTGAAAACAGAAACGTCTGCCGGAATGGAGAGCCACCGCTGACGGAGATTCCCGAGCTGCTCTGATAACAACAGGTTAGTGTTGACAGACTCAGTGACTCTCACCTGCAGCTGCTGCTATCACGACCACATTCACCTTTACCTTTCATTTATGTCTTTTTCTTTTTTTATTTATTTATTTATTTACAAATGTGTTGACGCCGGGCTGTGGAGGTGTGCAAGGTGCCCGAAGACGCACCGGGAGAGAAAGATTTTGATGCATCCACGTGTGCGGTGAGGAGTCCAGCTGTGGCTCATACACCGGCGCAATGTGCAGCTGCAGCGGGTTCAGGCAGAATACATGCGGGGGTATTAGCATTATTAGTATTGTGCGTTCATTTAAATGGCGGCTCCTTATTTCGACTTGTTGTTGAGCATTCCTGCGTTGAGGCTGCGGGTGTGTCTACCTTTGATCACAATTGGATTACATGCATTTGGAAGGAACAGGTAAAATAGATTAGACTGCATCAGTGTAAGGATTCGTATTCTTACATGCGTTATTTTGCATTCATACATTTATTAGATGCATATTTTTGCATATACTTATCTAGAATGGCGTCGTATTTGTAGCTCAAGTAGTAATTTAGTCATGTTTACCCCCATTTTCCTTCCCCCCCTCACATTTCTTAAAAAAATAATATGTAACTTATATAAAACAATAGAAAATAAGAGTTACCATAAAGCAATATTAGACTATAATGATTTTTTATACAGTTATATATATTTTTTTTTCTTTACAATTTTCTAATTATTGCTCAGTGTCACTCAGTTTTGTATTGAAGTGTGTGCGTGTGTCTGCTTATAAGGATTCAAAGGTTTATTTGTCACTTACACAAACAATATGTGTATTGAAACGCAATGTGGCTAAATAATAGAATTTGAAAATATTAACAAATATTTATACCATTCATTTTATACTCAGAAATGTTGTATTATACTGTATAGATCGTGTGCAACAACTCCTTTGTGGCCATTCAACATTTAATAATACAGGACATTTTATATTGTGAAATGATTGACAACATGCTGAAAGATAAAGTCCAACAATTCCAGTAAACCATTTAATTTCACCTCCACTGATGCACTGTGAATTTTCCATTTGTCATAGTGATGACACACACACACACACACACACACAGACACACACACACACATTCAGCCTTGCAGGTTATCAACTTTTCAACATAATTGGTTTCATTTCTAAATTTGGCTCCATGTCGTTGCCACACTTACCTTGTCAATTTTACTCTCAGTGCCTGACATTGTTTCATCTCCTCATCACAGCAGCCGTCACTGATCTTGTACAATGGGACCAAAATTACTTGTGCACTTATATAATGCTGGTCAGTCTCTAAAATCAGACAAAATCTGTATCTGTAATTCTGTCATCTGGAGGCTATTTCAGAACTACAAAAGTCATTATTTTTTCCTGAAGTGGAGCGGCTGATGAACAAAGTCCACAGACAGATAATGTGACCTTTTTCAAACAGCGCAGATCTCATTTTGAAATTGGAAGTGTATCTCTCTCTAAAGTTGTCATGGGAAGCTTAAATGTTTAGCGTATCTCTGTGTAAGACTGTCAAGAAAAGCTTCAAACTCTGAGCTCTTAGTCATAGAGCTGCTGCTGATGTGAATGTTGGGAGTCTTTGAAGTGCATTACGTAACCTGCCAACAAATAGCAGAGTGGCCCAAAGTGCTAATACCCGGTAACCTCACCGTGTCCTTGGAGGACAAGAAGACGAGATTATGATTTGACAGTAAACGCTTATGGAAAACCAGCAGACAAAGGAAAACACCCCATTCCTTATCATTTTTTTACAGCGAGGGCAATGAATCACTGCTGTGAAATATAATTTTTGAGTTTTAAGTGTGATGGATTACAGGCTGCTGATCAGCGAGGCAGGGCTGAAGGCTGAAGGCTGCTCCCTCTCTGTCTTTCTACTGAGATCTTTTTTTTTTTTTAAGGCAGAAAGAGACAGCCCGTCTTGTCACTTCAAGCAGTCTCATAACATCCAGGACCCCTCCCAAGTGATTGTCAGTCTCTGTGACGGCTCTTCACGCTTACAGAAGCGTAACCGAAGGACACAACCTGCAAAAGATGGGACTCTGGGTTATGCAAACATTCTCAGAGGCAATTGATAATCTGGTCATGAGATATCTGGTCAAAAAGTCATGAGATATGGTGACACAACAGACAAGCAACACAGTAAATCAGCCAATCAGAGAGTTGTGAATTTAAGCTACTGTACTTACCATAGGTATGTGCATTCACATTTTGTCAGTACAATGGGCCATTGTAAAGGATATTTTGGGGGTGTTTACCTCAACTTCATATCAAGACAATTTGAATAACTGGTTCCCAAAAGTTAAATCTGAGTGGTTGTGTCAAGATTATTAGGACAGGAAAGAAGAACAAACTTGATTCTGTGTATTTTTTCTTGTTGTTTTGTTGAATTATTTACAGTGTTTCAGACCTTTAAATCATTCAGATGAAGCAAGGGGTTGGTTGAGCTGGCCACTATTAGTTGTAGACAGGCAGTAGTAGATGTTACTTTGTTTTAAGAGATCACAGGTCAAAAGTTTGGGAAAACTTGGGGTCGGATAATTGCATCTGACAGCTCGTGTTGCTTGCTCTGACAGATTTTGTTGGTGAACAAATAGATTTTATGTCCAAAGCTATAGAAAAAATATGTGAATAAAAATTCCCTTTAAGCATGAGAAAGAATATGTCTGAACCATCTCACATCATCTAAGGCTTGTTTGTGGTGTTCCTGCACTGTAAAAGAAAAATATACAAATCTGGTTTGCAGAATCACTCAGTGAGAAACAAAAAACGACCAACAGTCCTGCTGGCTGTTTCTGGATTAATAAATGTATCTCCAACTCTTTTTATAGAACAGACAAGTCAACGGTCTTCTCCAAATTCAATGTATCGTGCCTCTTTTTGCCAGAACAAATAATCCACACAGAAAGCTGCAAGCTGCCCCTCCTGTTTTAGCACATTATGGTGAAAAAAGTCATGTTATTGGTTTGTTTTCTGGAGAAATTTGTGTCCAGTGCTAATGAGTAGGCAACCAAAGCTGACTAACTAACCTGACCTAACCACCTGTAGAGTCACTGCTGTGGGAGTATTCATTGTCACTCCACAGGTCGGAGCTTAGATATGAAAATACTGTATGAGTTAATTCTGTTTAATCATAACTTAATCTAATTAAATTAACCTTAACCACCTTTAACATATTAGAAGTATGCACTTAATAAGCCAGGAACTGAACTCAACTTGTTGCATTAAAGGTGAATTTTTTGTCTCATTGTGACCAGTGGCAAACTACTAGTACAAGGCTATTTCAGGCCTGAATTACCTGCCAGGGTGCCCCAGGGCAAAAATGAGCTGCTGTCCCCCTTTTAATCCCCATTTTCCCGACTAACTGGTGTCACGAATCCCATGAAAAGGCTCAGTAATAGCCAATATAACAGCTGAGCCCTGTAGTTTCTAGCAAATGTAATTCAAACATGAGGAAATAGAGCATTTGTTTAGGACTACTTTCAGCTGTGGAATAATACTAGTGAATATTTCCAGCAGTGGTGTATGTGGGATTGACTCAGAATACACTACAGTCTGTGTGTGTTTGTGGTAATGAAGGAATATGTCACTCAAGTACAACAGTGCGGCTCACTGATGTGTTTTCAATAGGTTTTAGACAATTGAGCTCTATAGCACAGAGGAAGAAGATACGTCAAGCTTTGGATACACAGACAACACTTGTGGGTGGCAGACATTCATTGATGGTTTTGGTCTTTTAATGGGAATGCTTGACAATAAGACAAATATATAATACCGCCAGACTCATCAGTTAAACACAAATGCTTTTAGTGATGTAGGAATCTGCACCACGTACAAGCACAAACTAGATTTTTGACCCAGGGTCCGCTACAAGGGTAGAGCTTCAAGATTAGATATTAAAGCAGGACCCATGTTACAGCACTTACTACATATTTAACATATGTTTGTATTTCTCAACTAATTTTCAGTTGCATTAGCACAAATCAGTTGACATGTTTGTGTGCGTGTAACCTTGTCTGAGGGGAGAAATTAATTTCTTCTCATGTATGACAATGTTTAAAACTAAATGGTTCCTCTGAATATAATTTGCGGATGCAGATTGGTTGCAAATGAATATAACTCGAGACAGGGTTGGACATTTCAGAATAGCAGACTGTGGTTTAATGAAGCCAGTGACACACCAACTTTCAGAGCAGTGTTTCCTGCAATAAATGTTGTATAACTAACACCCCAAAGTGCCAATTCAAACGCCCTGAGCTGCAGAAACTCAAGGCCAAAGGAGTCCCCTGAGCCTTCTTTACTCACAGAACGGGCTTTTCGCCTAGAGCTCCAGAAATAAACTCATCTGAGAGCCACTTTGTTCTGGCCTGAGACACATTTTTCTTTGTTTTTCTCATCTCTTTAAAGTCTTGAGATTTGAGACTTTTTTTCTGTTTCTGCGATTACATTAAGTTGATATATTGGTTTGCTGTTTCATCTGTCAAACCACAGAGGACACAATCTTTAGTATAATCCGTCTGTTTGGATTCTCTCACAGGTCTTATCCGCTGAGCCCATCTTCCCCTCCAAAATCTTTAAGCAACCGACAAAGAGCTGGAGCCCAGACGATCAAGCATGGATGTGCCCAGGATGGCTGAGGGCCTCTTCAGCAGCACGCTGTCCTCGTCGGGTGGCGGCCATCACGTGCCTTCCTACCTGACGCTGGAGCAGAAGGCAGCCTTCGTCTTTGTGCTGCTGCTCTTCATCTTCTTGGCCCTGCTCATCGTGCGCTGTTTCCGCATCCTGCTGGACCCCTACCGCAGCATGCCCTCGTCCAACTGGACTGACCACACCGAGAAGGACACGTTCGATTACCGCATCGTTTGAGGGGCCCTGCGGGTGCACAAGTTGGAGCGGAAAAGAATAAGATAAAAGACTGATTTGATGCTTAAAAAGCCCTTTGGCCCTACGAACAAATGACTGCTGATTCACCAGGAAAACAACAGCTTTCGGAAGATCTTCTGAAAGTTCGGACTGAAAAGAATTTCGATTGGCGGTTTGTCGTCAAAATGAGACCTAACCAACAGCTTCTCCCTGCCAAATCAGAAAATTCTCAACTATAACAAGACAACCAGAACTATCTATGCTATGAAGATTATTGATCAAACCGAAAACTATCATGACCCTCAGCACCAGAGACACTTACTGTTACCCATAATTCCCTTTCCCTGCCATCAGTTCTCTTGTGGACTACCTCGTTCCTCCTCCATCTCATGTGCGAAAGACTTAGTATTTTCTCACATCTCACACAGGGTCAGATATCTTTTGAGGTCCAAGCCAATTGGATAATAACAGTGTTTACATCTTATCATGTTTACGTCCTTAGATTTTTATTGATAATGTAGACAATCAGTGTTTAAAACTGTTAGTGAAAAAAGAATTTGCAGAGTAAATAGTTGAGGTCTTTTGTTTTTTACATTTTTTTTTCTTAATTTGTGGACAGACATGAGCGGTCCAAAAGAATTTGTATGACTGATTTAGGCGAAGAGGAATTTAATGCCTTACTGTATGTCTTTGTGAGATATTCTGTGGTGGTCATTTCCTTCTTGACAGTTAAGTAAGGCTGGTTTCAAGGTTATAAAGCAGGTTACATAAACACAAAGAAAGAAACTGTAGTGGAAAAGTTGTCCCTTTAATGTTCTGGAAAGGTTTGGACAGATAGATGCCAGCAGTGAGTAACTGTAACTGTTCTGTGTGTGCCATAAAAAATCCTTTCAGACTTGGAAGGGACCTGTGGTGTCCACGTCTTTAGATGTCAACAACCAAAAGAGGTATTGAAGAAAAAAAGTTTACTGTGCTGTACCTTGTGCCTAATTTGAAAAAAAAAGAAGTTTAGATCGATGTTTTAGGAATATGAAAGAAAATGGGTTCATATTTTTGTCTTCAAATGTAGGTTGTTGTTTTTTTTTGTGTGGTGCCCATTCAAAAAAACTTAAACAGCATTTTACTGCCTGCAGTTGGTATATTGACAGTTGGTATGCCAGATCTGCAGAGTGTTGATGATGAAGATGGCAATGCATTTTCACATCAAACCCTTTACAAACCGATGTTGTGGCTCTTTCGTTGGGCAATTTTTCAACTGTGCGCCTTATAGTGTAGATTGTTTACAGTATCGTAGGTAGCGGAGACACTGGAAATCAGCCAGTCACTGATGCGACTGTGTCTTTGCACTTCACGGAGATGTCATACAACCCCGCTAAAAAGAAAAAACAAACACATTCCCTGCTCTTGTTTCTGCCGGGGCAGGAAGTGAACTCTGACCCTTTCGGCGACGTGTGTTGTTCTTGTGATCTGCTGTGGCCTTTTCCTACCTATCGCAGATGTTGCGATGTTGTGCTGAGGTGATGTGGTTTTTTTCCCTCCCTGCATGTATTTCTCGCAGAGTATCCTCTCCATGCATGATAAATGGTGAAGTGCTTTAATCCTGATGTTGTAGCTGTGGGTCAGTTGCTCAAGCAGCTCTTTCCTGTCTGTACTGGAGCCTTTTGTTTCGATCTGTTTCTCGCCCGGAGCCGCCGTTCGTTTTGTAATAAAAATGATCAGAGTGCAAAACTGCCTTTTAATGTGTTTTATTTCATTAGATTCATTCACCAGGCAGTAAAAGTGGCAGGTGTTAAGGACAAACAAAAAATGGATGAGAAAAAAGCGTTCTTCCAAGCCTCCCTGCCCTTTTCAAGGCGGCCATATGTGCCGCAGGCCCAATACATTCTTTTTCCTGTTTTATCAGCGGCTGGCAGTGGTAGCCGGCAGGTGTCTCGATTGGTTTTCTGTGAACCCAGACACTTTGTCTGGCTATATACACACACACACACACACGTCTCCAGGCTCCAGGCCCAGACTGCTCTTTGAGCCGAGACCCTCCAGAACTCCATGCAGAATAACAATCTGACACCAACACTGAATATGTTGATATACAATCATGTGCTGCACACCTCCCTCAAAAACCTGCATCCTTTCTCACACAGAAGCAAGATGTGGATAGATTGACCTATGTATTTTTTTGCGAGTGAATACGTGCATCTGTTGTGTGTTACTTAATAATTCTGCTGATATCACACATCCACAGGTTTTTTTGTTTTTTTTTAGGAAGGGCTGGGAGCTGGAACGGATCAGAATTTTAAATGTGAGCTGATCCCACAGAGGAGAAATGTGCAGTCTGCGCTTTGTGGATTATTATGTAAGAGACAACCTACGTCTTTACTGAAGCCTTTTCACTGTTTGCTCATTTTTAAAAGTCTAAATACTGGAGTGGATGCCTTCCTCAGCTGATAACGGCTGTACTATGAAGGCAGAACTAAACATGCATCATTTGTTGATACAGAAACCAGCTCACGCACAATACATGCTGGCAGCAGGAGGAAGCCAGTTTGTTACACAAGCAATTTTAGATGGGGAAAACAATCTTCTGGGATGTAGAAAACACATCTGGGGTGTGATTAGATATCCATCACTTGAAATGAATGACACCTGCACTCAATAATGATTCTGTCACAAAAGAAACACATCTAAAAGTTATCTGTCTTCCTAAAACCTTTGCTTCTCCAGAAATACTTTTGTTTTTCTCCAAGTATCACCCACAGGCTTTGAGATTCTGATCATTTTGAGCGATAACCAAAATAGAAACAAATCATTTTGGAATGAAAGCCTTCATTTTCTGTTTCTGAAATCTCATTAGTTCATGCCAAACAAAGATTATAATCCAATCTAAACACGCCTTTACACAGCAAGTGGGAGCAGCAGCGGGGAACATTAACCATTATGGATCAATATCACAGTCATGCTTTATGCAACATGACTCATATTAAAGAAAGCCACTGATAATTGAATTATTTTCATTCTCTGCTGTGCACGCTCAGAGGCTGTATGCTGAATTTATTCCCTTTCCAAACAGCCCATTTCACTATTCAGTCTCCAGTTAATTTAATGGTCTCTGAACAGGTTGGAAGGCACTGTTCCCTTGTGATTGTGAATAGCTGTGCAAGAGGATAACAAAGGAACGACTGATATTGTATAATTGATTTTGCAGCAATTCCTCTTCCTGTGAGCCGGTGACGTTTACAATACTGTGAGGCTTCAGGGAACATTGGCGCCAAAGAAAAGATGATCACCAGCATCATTCAAAAATACTTCTGGTCTGCAGCTTTCAGAGAAATCTTGGATTGCTTTGCGTCTGTGTGTTCAAAGATAAAATGCAGTGTTCATTATGAAAGCTTTAGTGCTTGAACAAATTGTTGACAGAAGATTAATCAATAATTTGGATAATTAATTTGTGAAGAAAAAAAAAGCTAAGTATTTGCTGGTTTCTGCTTTTTAAATTTGAGGATCTGCTGCTTTTCTCTGACTGTATATCATTGCAAATTAAATAGCTATGGGTTGTAGATGACTGGTCGGACAAAAAGAGGAAATTATGAAGCTATCCCCCTTGGAAAAAGGGGAACAATAGAAAAATAAGGACTGAATCTATAAAGTTGGTTTCCATAGTAGGAATCAGTGACACCTGCTGACCAGTGTTTCCATGGTAACAATCGGAAGCACCTGCAGTGGCACCATATGACAAAAAAAAAAGAGGCTATTTGTGGTTTGGCAACAATGTTGTGAAGCGAGTGATGAGAAGGAAATTAGAGTTTTTCCTGAGCCTGACTGATGAGTTAGCGCTGAACCCCGCCACATTAAGAGACCACAGCATCCCGGCTCTGCCATTTACGTCCGAGCTGCATTGGTTTTACGCTACTGGATGTGCTGAATTTATGCAAATGTGCAAAATATTTGTATAATTCTTATAAAAAAAACCTTTCTAGTTGGAAAGTTTGAGTTTGCATTCTTATTTAGCCACTTGTTAGCAACCGCCTTTTTTAATACACATAAAAGCTTTGAAATTCACAAGTGGGTTATTCAGTATATTTTATGTCATAGAACAAAATGTGAAAATCTTATAAGCTTGTGTTAGCCACATACCCCATTTCAGGATTCTAACCAAAAAAACATTGACTTCGAGCCGAGGGAACAGGAAGTGCTAAAATGTTAACTCAGTTCCAGGTTTTAGGAATTCCTGCAGCACTCTATATGGAAAGTTGAGGGATCAGCAAAGTGATCACAGTTTACCCTGAGTGGAAGTTTCAGTCGATCCAATATGCTAGTTGTTATGATGTTTTACTCAAATCCATTAATGTCAACCACATGGTTGAGCTACAGGAAATGTCAGGTATCAATAAAAGTCAATAGGATTAATTCCTAGGGGACCATGAATGTCTCAAATAAATTTTATGGCAATCCATCCTGTAGTTTTTGAGATATTTCAAAGGTAGACCGGCACATTGCCGTCCCTAGAGCCAAGCTGCTAGCACAACTAAAAATAGAAATGACCAGCTCTCTGACAGTCTCAACAAAAGCTAAATAATGTAAGCCTCAAAGAAACTATACGTTTTCAGTCAGTTGTGTTGGATTTTGTAAGGGGGTATTTTAAAGCCCCCCCATTATAACAAAACAAGGAGGAAAATAAATCAATCTATCTTAAGAGGGGATTTTAATGATGACATTGATTCTACTAGCTGTTCTCCTCAGGCAGGTCGTTCTGACCTTCTGGGCCCTGACAGATGAGGCGCTGTCACTCCTGGTCTCTCTGGGACAGCCAGAGGGCCCCTGCCGGGTGATCTCAGGCTATGTGAGTGCTCACACAGCCTTCAAAGCTCTATAACATAGCAAGCACCCAGGCCATGAAGTGCTTTTAAGGCAGTCACTTCTGGAAATTACAGGCAGCCTGTGTGAGGCATCCTACATCTTGAGAAAAGTCTGGATCTGGTCTGTCAGATTCATGTCAGCCACAATCTGCTTTAGCCCTCAAAGTACATCAGAGGAGGACAGCTGTTCAGGAACACACATCACACCAAACACCAGCACTCCCTCCCACCGAGCCATTTAGTGGCCACTTTTTCAAGGGCTTTAGGAACAGAGAGCTGAGAGCAACAATATTCTTCACCACAGTGTCCGACTGCTGGCCACTGGGAGCTGCCCAGTATAATGACAGTCATTACTGGTGACCACTGGAGATCTTCACTAGAGCAGCTGGAGGATAAGTGCTTCCACTGGCTGCAGTACAAAAACATTTACATAAACGATAGCAATCACATGCACATAATAACTAGTCTTTGAATCTTTATATACATAAACATATGACGCCAACTGCAAATAAAAAAAAAGCATTTTTATTGAAATGTAAAACATTTTATTTAAAAATATCCCAGATGTAAAACTATTAGATTTTGATTAAATATTAAAACTTTTTTAAAAAAAAATTCATTTCCCAAACGCCTCTTTCTCTTGCATACTAAAAAATAATAAACCATAACGACCACAAAACCACTCAGTAATGAGTACATTAACTTCCTGAATTCACACAGAAAATCCGACTTTAAATCAACCCAACAGGGCTCCCCTGTCTTTTATTTGCAAATGTTTTGGGGTTTTTTCTTGCACAGAAATTAAGTAATGTTTTTTTTTACTTTTTAGGTGCCTTTTATTGCCTCAGTGAATTACACAACTACGTTTTACAAAGTAAAGTTAGTAGAGTATATTTCTGTAAAGTTGGGGGACTCACAAAACAGATTAAGAATTGTCAAAATCAAAGCAATGGAGGAGGAGTTATCCTGAATTTGAAGGCCTCCATATAACAGTTGACAACTGTGAGAGCAACGTGGTGAAATCCTCCTTCGTTGAGCTTACGGTGATAGAAGACTTAAGACCAAAGACAGCTTGTATCAAAATTCTGATTCCAGAAATGTAGGACCTACCGCTACAACCTCCTTTACAGGCTAACCATCCTGAATGTGATATGAAATGACGCAGGATCTACTGGTGTAATCCTCCTTTACCTCCAACTCACTTCATTTCATATTCTATTCACAGAAGTGCCAGCACTGAGGGCAAAACGGGTTGGTTTAACCGAGACCAGCACAGATGGAGTTGGTGACATTTCCTGACATGACAGTTTTTACATCCTTAAGCTACGATTCATCAGGCTTTAATCACACTTTACATATATACTCAAACTTGATTTCATACAGTCTGACACAGATGGCGCCCAAGACTTCATTAGACCCACCTCGCACAATGTGACAAGTGGTGAACAAACATTGTTGTCGGCACAGTGTATAGGCGCCTTTAGTCTTTCAGACCTCACTCCCCCGGTTTGTAACGCAGCTTTCTGTTATACATTTTTATTCTGTAAACTGAGATTAACTCTGACAACATCACTATGACAGCATTTGGAGTTTGTTTTCCTTGACTTGACAAACGACGAAGAAAATATGTATAACATCTCCTCCTCCAGAGCCACAGGAGATATTATACATATTTTCTTAGGCTGTGTAGTCCTTCCTATAACTAGTGAACTACTGTAATGTTAATGTGTAAAATCCGTGGAATGCCCCTTTAAGAAACTGGCAGTGTTTTAGGAAATGATGAAGTAAAATTATCTTTGTAGTTTCTGAGGCACTTCCTCATTTCTCTGTAAGAACTGTCCCAACTTTTACCTTAAAACAGACTTACATGTCAGATTTTCTGCTACTGCATGAATAAAGCGCTCAAAGGACCAGTGTGAAGGATTTTGTGGCATCACTAAAAATCGCCTTTTAAGGGCTTTGGAGAAAATATGGCGGCTGCGAAACCCGTACCTATCTAGAGCCAGTGTTGGTCTGTTTTGGGCTCCTGTAGAAACATGGCAGTTCAACATGGAAGCCTCGGTAGAAGAGGACCCGCTCCCTCTGCAGATAAAAAAGTCTCATTCTAAGGTAACAAAAACACAACTTTTCTTTTTTCAGGTGATTATAAACTGATAAAAACATACATACTATATTCCATTTCTGCCAGATTCCTAAATGTTACACACCGGACCTTTAAGTGCAAACGTAAACTAACATCCCCTGACAGTTGGTGGGCTGTACACATCAGTGGTTCTCAACCCTCAGCCTCTTCCTTCATTTGTTCTAGTGGAGAATGACACTGATGCTGTCGTTTTTAAAGGTGCTGATGTGTTAAAATCAACACGTCATTTTCACCCACTTCCTTTAAAAAACAGTCAGATCTGTCTTTTTGTAAATCATGTTGAACTCATAATATCACACAGTAAAAGAAGTGAATGGATGGTGGTTGAGAAGAGGCTGCTTTGAAAACATAAAGGTCACAAGTTTGATTCCCAGAAAAGATAAGGTGTATCCATCAACTGCTGTGCATTCTGCTGAAGAGTCCTTGAGCCCAACACCGAGCTCCTATCTGCTCACTGTAGGTCACCCTGGATAAGAGAGCATGAAGTGCTCTTACTGTAATTGCTTCATGATTATCTTTGTCTGTACTGTGAACCTCCACTGAGGCACAGTGACACACCACAGTCTGAGGGCCCTCATCACAAACCCTGGCAAAAAGAATGATGTAAACACAAAAAATACTTGAGAATACAACACCGAATAATGAATAACTATAAGATGAAGAGGAAGTGGGGCAAAGGTGTTTTTTAGACACTTATAAAAGTGAACTCTTTTGCTAGTACTGTAAGTGTCACTATGAGCGAGGACGGTTGAAGGAACAAAAGCTAGTGATACGAACTGTAGTAGCTATATTGTTTCAGTGGGAGCTAAAACTGCATTGTAGCAACTGAGAATGTGAAGACGTTAAATTCACTGACCTAAAACTTGAATTTGTGTTCTAACTATGGCTACATTCACACTGCAATCCTACCTACATACATTTCATTGGCTCACAGCTTGTTGTGGAGATCTTTTTCACCAACGTGGCCAAAAAACCCCCCAAAAAACCAATAATGCAGCTTTGAGTGTGTACAAAGAGTGAGAACCATTAATGTAACTGTCAGGGTGTCCAAGCGTCTATGGGGCCCACAACAATTATTGCAAGTTTAACCTGCCGTACCAATGCAAATATGTCAGACCCGTTCTTAACCTTTCTCTTAACAAGTCTGGCAGAAACACAAAGAGATAAAGTGGAAGAACTGATCATCACGATGCCCACCGCTTCCTCTCCAGGCTCAGTGTGTGCTTCTAACTAACCACCCAAACTATTTCCTCTTCAAACTAAAGTCCTCTTGACGTTTGTGCAGCATGAAACTGTGACATATTCACAAAGTCTTCCTAATCTTCTACAAAAGGATTATTATTATTAAATAAGTACCACAAGATATGTCAGCTAGTGTCTGCGTCCCCCTCTGCCTCGCCCCCTGCCTCTCCCTCGTCGAGAGGGGGAAGACTTGTCTGTTTCCTTTGTAGCGTCGACCTCCACATCCAGCTCACCCTCAGTCACAAGAATTGCATCTTCTGGAAGTTCAGGGACGACCTCTTCCGCCTCCTCTGTGTATTTCCTCTCCCCTTCTTCCACCTCTTTTGATGCAGCTTCCTCTGTGGTCTCTAGCTGCTCCTCTACCACCACCCCCTCCTCCTCCTGCTTCACTGCAGCACCATTCTTTAAGGTAACAGTAATGCTGCTGTTACTGGTGGCTATGGCCTGCTCCAGTCTGATGCGATACTGCTCAGCCTCCTGTTCCTTCTGCAGGAGCTGCTGCTGGTACTTTTGGGCTTTGAGTGTGGCTTCCTGCAGCTGCCGCTCCAGCTGCTCGCGACTTTCTTTAACCTTCTGCAAATAAAACAAACAGATTAGAGGTTAAAGCATCAAATGAAATGTTGTTTTTGAAGATTTTGGTGTATAAAGTTACCCTTTAAATAAGTCATAAGTACTCCTGACTTACCTTGTCTTTTCGACTGATGTGATTGGCTGTGGAGTCAGTCTTCCTCTTGCGTGTGGGCGTGGCCTGCTCCTCGACCACCACCTCCTCTGTGATTGTGCTGGCTGGCAATGCCACCACTACAACCGCAAAACAGAAAAGTGTCTGAGACGGTGTGTGTGTGTGTGTATACTAGCACATCTGTTAGATCTATTTTATATTTAAAAAATGTCATTGTGTGGTCCCCGTCTGTGATTGGCCACCCATCCTCCTCCCTGGCTGCCACCACAATCTATGTAATGGGAAAAGCACCCAGTCCAGTTTGTCACCGCTTTTTGCCTCTTATTGGATTAGACATGTGTGTAAAACTACATTTGTAAACTGTGTTTCTAAGGCACTTTCTTTTTATTTTCCACGTTTCATTGTTTTAGTCCAATAAACCTCTGAGTTAAGAGTCCTCTATTGCTATATTTCTGTCTTTGACAACCCACAGGCCCTTTTTCCTTTGTACTTAAGTATACGTTTGTCAAACTACCTCTTCTTACAACAAATAACTGGTTTTATATTTTCCCCCCAAGAGACCCAAATTCTTGTATTTCCTCCACTAATAGTCAAATAGTCTCCAGACACTGATTTTTTACACGTCTTTTGTATCTTCTTCCATCACATGAAAACCCCATTTAATAAGCAGCTTTTTGCCACTCACAGTTATAAGTATTCAGGATTTGTTCGAGGGTTTTACATAAGTCATGTTTGAATTCAGGAAGCAACTAAACTGCAATGTCAACTTGAGGTTGTCTGAACTAGTTACAGCGGGTATAACTGTGAGACTCCCGCTGATTTTTCAGTGCCTTTGTTTTGCTTGAATGCTTCACAGCGTCTCTGTGCAATATCTGCAGAATTGTAATAATCTGACTGACTAACTTCCAATGTATGTTTTGTTTTTATTTTCGGTATATTTCTGCCTTCTTCTTTTTTTTAGAAACTATCAGCAATCATGACGTCAGTGCATCCCTATTCTCAGTTAGGTCCGGATCAGAACTGGAGAGCCCACTGAGCCCACTCACTCTGCTGCCCCTGCAGGGTGAAGATGAACTGCTGGCCCAGGGCGGCTGGCTGCAGGTTGCCATGTTGGTCCGTCACTATGGTAATGACCCTCTGACCGCCGTCGCCCACCACATGCTGTAGGGTTGTGTTCTCCTCTGACTTGCCTGAAGTTAACAGTTGGCTTGTATTGTTAGATAACAGTTGCTACCAAGAACAGACATTATGCTGCTGTACAAAAATGAACCAGGACCAGAATGTTACACATCACATATAAAGAAAAGTTTTACATGTTTGATATTTTCAGACACTCTAAATGAACACACTGAGAAGCTGATGTTTGTTGAGAAACAGGGATGGATGAAATGATGGCAGTGAATGGGTGGATGAATTATGAATTATCTTAATTGTTGTTCTATAATTGTCTGCCATTTTGTTTCTGTTCTAGATCACACCAGTCCAGGTGTTTCTTGTTTGTTGTCAGATATGATTATACGTCTCTTGGGATAACAGTAAGTCTCCTGAGGTTTCTTAATTCCCACCTGCACACATCTGAATTCCATCTGTTGTTTATTCATCATTTCTGTCACTTCATTTCTACACCTGAACACAACCGAAGGATGCATGTGTGTGCTGCCTACCTGCTGCGGTCTTGGTGATCAGCTCTGAGAGGTTGACCAGCCCACCAGCAGGGATTATGTAGTGGGACTCGGGGTTGATGTTTACCTGGTTCTGCATGCCGTCCTGCACACAGAGAAGGAGCTGTGGTTATACTGGATTCTGTTGCCGTTAATGATAATTTACAAACGGATCTGTTACATAAGAGGGTGAAAACATTTCAAATGAAATCATATGTGATTCTATTAAAGAGATAGGAAGTGTGGAAAATTCTGCACCAACCCCAAAACAGTCAAACTGACCTAAACCTGCAATAACAGATTTTCTCTGGCTGCTTTGCTGGGCAGTGGAAGCGCGCTGTAAACAGAACACTGACATACTGAATTTATTGAAAGAGTAGCCCCTCGAGACGTAGCATCTCACTTTCAAAGGGGTACTGTACACACGAATACAAATCAAACGCACACAAACAAAAACAGCATTACATAACAAACATGCACTGCAAATACACAAGACAGCTCGCTCTCACCCTCCCACCCACACACGTTATCACCTTTTAAGTTGATATTGCAAACTTGTTAGCAAATAATTGCTTCTATACACTCCAGCAGTTATGTGTTTGTGTCCACCATTTACTGTCTTTTAGCTCTGTTTTGCTCTCCAACAACTCTTGGGAAACATATCTGGGTGTTAAGCAGTTAAATTATCTACTATGTTCACCAGCTAGTTGCTAACTTTGTCTGTCATTTGGTGCTGGGCAGGTAATGTACAGTGGGTCTTTACAGCTTCCACTGACTACAGCTGCCTGTTATGAAGCTATGAAGGTGAGAGAGAATCAGAACACTAAAACAAAACAAAACAATGAGCTGAAAGACACTAAAATGTTGGTATTGATGGTGACAATTACATGTGGGTTCATCACTATGAGTGACTCCTTTCATATAACCTGACTAATATGATCTATTGTTAATACAAGAATATTATTTATAGCCACTTTAAAATCTCCTGTAACTGCTAAATCTATCATTATTATTATAATTATTTTGTATATTATGCACCTCTTGGTCACCAGTCTCCGTAAAGAATTTAGAATTTAAGAAAAACTATTATTAACTAACATTTTTTAAATTGACATTTACATGGCCTTTTGAGGGAAAAAGTGGTATATAATAATAACAGTTCTGATCTCTTATTACATTTTAGATCAATGTGTAATCCAATTTAAAAAATGACAGGCATAAAATGAAACACTTTGATGTATAAAATAGGACCCTGCCAATTGTTTCCATTTTTATCTCTCTAAAACTAAGATAAAAGGTTTGCACACACGATAACAGAACATTCATCTAGCATTAGTGCCTTTAGTTGACGTCGCTCAAACAAAGAAGATAGCATCAGTATTCTGTAATTAGGAATGACACTTTCAGCCACTACACTCATTCTATTAGAAAGAGTCAGATAAACAGTTTTTGCCCTGAGGAATTGCAGGTGAAACTGATCTGTTGCTGCTGAAAGTGAGAAATCATTTTGGGAGTAATTTCGCCGATGGTTTGACATTCTCTTTGTTAAAACTGCTCCGCTTTCCGACCAAAAGCAATCACGCGGTTAATGGTGGATAGAATATGATGGCCGCAAGAGCTGAGAGGTTTTAAAACGAATAGTTTGCTTCATTGTTTATCCACTGATGATTCGTTTTCATTGCAGTTAGCATCTCGTAGTGTCGGCAGTGATTTCTTTTGAAGGAGACATTTTATCTGCACTGACTTAATAAGAGAGAAGTATGAGAAAGAGAAAACAATGGTTTTATGTGCGTCTCAACCTACAATTACATTTTTTTCTTGGCAGTTAAAGTGCTTTGCTTCTTCAGAACACAGCAGAAAGTTTACTTTACATAATAAACACATATCATGATGCATTTATGGTGATTCAGCCCCTTCAGACGCCGTCCTCAGGGGAGCGTTTCACACTCACGGCCGAGGTGGGTGTTTATGTTTCATAAACACGTGTCGGTGCCCTCCTGAATGCAGCCATCCTGCACAGGTCAACCAGCTGCTTTTGCTCGAGGCCCTACTATCTGTATCCTGGCTAGTTGAAGAGTCATGACCAAGGAGGGGAGTTATCTAACGCTAACCAGAACCTCCTACGTACCACCTGAAGGCCCACACACACACCTCTGTTATATAAGGCCTTTTTGTAGGAGAGCTTTTTCCAAATACGCCTTCTGCTAATTTAACATAATCCTTAACAACAGTTCTGTTGTTTCAATTATTAGTGTAGCTTCATGTTTTCAAAGAGGAGGTCTAATCCGATCTTGTGTGAAATGGTGTCTAAATGCGGGTGTTATGGTAAGAACTGTTTGGCTGTCTGACAGAGGGAGGCTGCACGGCCACTGAAACCATAGCAACGCCGGCGAGAGTCCGACCGGCGCTTCGTGAGTCGCACTTGGAAAACATCAAACGTATTTTTTGAAATCACAGGGGCACTGTGCAAACATGTCTGCGCCTGCAGTCTCACACTTTTGTCTTCTTATTCTCTTTTCACTTTTCCTCCGCCTCTTTCCGTCTTTTGGTTAATCTCCTCGGCTCCCCCATTGCTCTTCTTCCCCCCTCCTTTCTGTTTCGCTCTCCCCCTAATCTCTGTCCATCTTTCTCCCTCCCTCCCTGCCTCTCTCACAAGCCTCTCATTCATCCATCTATGTCTCCTTGTCTTCCCTGCCTTCATCTATCTGTCCATCGCTCCCGCCGCTTCTCCTCCCCGTCTTCATTATTACCTGAAATGTGCTTGGTCATTTTCTGTCTTTTCCTAATGTCTCCTGTTCTCTTATCTTGTTTTATAACCTTGCACCAAAGTGTACGGTGTTTGAGACGCCAACAGGAACAGTGACGGCCTGCCTCGTCTCTGCTTTTCATGCCTCACCTGTCTTTTCCCGATATCACTTGTCTGTCCTTATATCTATTTCTCTCCCCTGTCATCGGTTTCTCTTCCCTTTTTTCATATCTCACCCCTCATCATCTTCATCATGTCTCTCTTTCTCTTTCCTCTCTCCCATTGACTCTAACTCCTCAAATCTCATTCAATGTCTTTGCCCCGTTTCTGTATTTCTCTCAACTCTGTCTGAATGTCTGTCTGTCTCTCTGTCCCCATCCCCACCACCCCCCTTCATCCACCTGTAGCAGTATCATCAGCTCAGTGTTGCTGGTATCCATGGCGATGTCGAAGGGCGTCTTGTCGAACTTGCTGAGGCAGTGGACGTCTGCTCCGTACCTCAGCAGGAGCTCGGCCACCTCCCTGTGGCCGTGCTGAGCCGCCCAGTGCAGCGCTGTCATCTTCAGCATGTCTTTGGCGTTGATGTCGGCGCCGTTCTGCACAGATTCACGGCGCCCCCCGGTGGCGAGGAAAGGTAACAAACACAAAAGAGAGGGAGACAAAAGAGGAAGTGATGAGAGAAGATGTCTGTGACTAGGCACGTTTGAAAGGTAAAGTAAAGTGAGGTGGAGTGCACACAATCTGATAAAACAGTGTAACATTATTATTATTTAAAACGCACGTTGAAACGTCAGTCGAGCTTTAAATGTTTTTGTATCTCCAAACAAAGTTTCGAAAATTATTTAATGGCTTTTTGGTGCACATAGAAACAATTTCAACACTAAACCTAAGGCCATCTGTAACAAATTTACATTGTAGAGGCACAATCTTGCATCATACACTGTATGGCCAAAAGTATATGGACACATGTACATGGCTGTGTTTCATTGTTTTAGCTACTTCTAATTTAGTACATTCTTAATGCTACAACATGCTGTCATATTTAGACCATAGTGTCTTTCCAAATTTATAGCAACAGTTTGTGTTTAGCCATTTCCTGTTTTACCACGACAATGGCTCCAAGCACAAAGCAGATAGAGAAATGGTTTTCCCAGTTGGGTGTGGAAGAATGTGACCGTCTGCACAGAGATCTGACCACAACCCAATCCAACACCTTTGGGATGAACCGGAATGAGCCAGTCATCGTTGGACCTCACTAATGCTCCTGTGGCTGAATGGGAGCAAATCCCTGCAGCCAGGTTCCAAAAGTCAGCAGAAAGGTCAACAATCATATGGGTGTAATGTTCGAGTGTCCACATACTTTTGCCCAGGTCCTTCTTACCTACTATATACTATAATAATTAGAATATTAATACAGTAAATCTGAGAAGACAACTGCAAAATCTCACTTATATTCATATTTAATTACTGAACTGTCAAAATACAATACCACAGACAGATATCTCTCCTCACCCGCACTAATAGGTCCACTATGACGGAGTGACCCTCTGAGGCGGCCATGTGAAGAGGGGTCTTGTCCACCTTGGTTCGGGCGTCCCTGCTGACGCCAGCACGCAGCAGCACCTCAGCGGTTGAGTGATGACCGTACTGGGCTGCGAGATGCAGCGGCGACGAGCCCAGCTGGAGGAAAAAGAGGAGAGAGAGGGAATATAAAGTATGTAGAAAAGCAGCTGGAGGTGTGACTTAAAAGTCCACTTAACATGAAGTGCCACGGTTTGTACTCGCACAGCTGCGCACCGCCACATCTGGGTCCTGCTGAGTTACTGAGATAATGTTAAGTGTTCAGGGGAAACTCGATAGTAGTCATTATGTTTCCCGCAGGTGTCTTTTTTTGTTGGCATTTCTGCTTTATTTTGAAGTGATAGCTGGAGAGAGACAGGAAAGGCAGGGTAGAAAGAGAGGGGATGGCATGCAGCACACAGCCCAGACTGGAATTGGCTGCTGTGGTAAGGACTCAGCCTTCACACATGGTACGTGCTCTACTATAGGTGAGCTACTGGGCAGCTCCTTTCTAAAGGTTTCAACAGATTAAATTTAAGATGTCTTAAAGACCATTATGGATGCAATTTAAGACACATTTCAAGTCCATACTGGCAAAAAAGTATGAAGGATATAAAGGAAAATCTGTATTGGCTGCATGTTGGTTTCATTTAGTTGTTATTACATGATCAGTACATTTTTTTCTCAAAACACATTTAAAAGTGAGACTGAAGCGGTCTTAAGACCTGTCAAAATCATATTAAGCCATTCAGATTATTGGATTTTAGACTTTTTAAGACACCTGAGTCATCGAAGAAGGATAAAGTAAATCTCAATCATCTTCACGTCAGAAGTTAAAATCTCTCTGACTTCCACACTAATTTCTCTGACTTTTAGGATACTGAGAACTAGATTCTAGCTGAAGGGCATTAAAAGAGTCCAGTGATTTAGCACTGCACTTCAATAAAGTTGGGGAATTCTTGAGAGACACATTAAATACAGAATGTTTAAAATAAATGCAGCAGGGGACAGACAGCCTGTCATTTAGTCCCTTGTATGGGTCAAGCTCACTTCTCATTAATGCCTGATAAACACCTACATCTTTCCAATTCTACACCCACAGTTCGCAGCAAAGTCTTTCTGTTAAAAATCTGTACTTTAAACACAATCTAAGATAACTCCCTTGATGTAATTTGAGTAATTTTCTCACACTGAAGTTCCTCTGGAGCCACAAATTAAGCAACATGAGTAGTACTCCTCACGATGTTACATAACTTTAATGAATCTAGTGACTAAAATGTAAGTAACACACACACACACACACCTCTGGCTCTAAGTCTTCTCTAATGCAGTGGTCACGACTTACCGTTAATACAACCTAATAGCTGAGAAAAAAATATTTTTTTGTAATTACAACCACTGTAGGAGTTTGTCAAAGGCTTGAAAGTCTCCCCTCTGCATCATACACTGCGGCACACAAGACAGCTAATCCACCAGTGTTGACACTCCGAGGTAATGGAAATCTAAATTATCATCAGTTATATTCACACAGTCAGCTTTACTTAGGAAAAAAATGGCAGGTTCATTTCGTTAATGGATGAATTTGGAAGTCATAAATATAAATGATATGGGATGTTGTCATTTTAAAAAATGTAATAGGTGAATGCTTATATTTCTCCCCTTACTTTAAAACATCATATGAACGTGACAAGAATCCATTAGACCACGTGCCACTGCACCCATTCTTCTACGTACATTTCTAAAATGTGACACGCTGCCACAGAGAGCTACACTTTAAATATGATGAATTTTGACACCCTTCAATCCTTTCTTGTGTAGTAGATAAATGTGGCATTAAGGAAAGAGAAAATTAAATAAAACTGCATTAGTGGCTTACACAGTGGCTGTGAGCAGTAAATTATAAATGAATGTTATAAATAGATATGATAATAAGAGTCAGAGGAAATGCCTGTGGATTCTTTTATGTAGGCTTGAATGCTTTTTAAAAAATCTAAATTATTTAAGACTTCTTTTTCATTACTGTAATGAGTATAAACAGACAATAATTAATGATACATAGACAGTGAATGTTGAAAAGCTCATGTAAGTTCGAGGTTTATCAAAACTAATTATGTGCTGCAGCTACTGGTATCCCTTTGTGATTAAAACTGTGTAAAATATGGATAATGAAACAGCTGAAACAATACGTTCATTAATAGATTAGTCAATCGACATAAAATAATAAGTAACTATGTTGTTAAGCGATCAATTATTTATCACGTTATTGATTTTTCAGCTTCCCAGTTGTCTTATTTGACCGTAAACTGAATATATTAAACATTTTTTCCCTGTTGTCTGACATTTTGTAGGATTAATAGGTTAACCAAGAGATAACAATGATTAATGGATAATTAGTTTCAGCTCTAGACTATAGTTTGTCATACAGTATGCAACGTTTATGCAAATTTGTAAAGCCTTGCACACCTATGGCACTGTAACTGATCATTGCACAGCAACCTTGTTGGCCGGCACCTACATGCATTTAGATATAAATATACAGGCAAATTACTGTAAAGACATAAATCTGTTTTTGTTCCTTCAGTAAGAGTCTGCTCAATGTCTCGTTTACTGTTTCTTTGTCTTTTGAGCTGGATATGAGCCCTCAGCATCACTGTCACACTGCCACTACATGGCGACAAAGTCCAAACACGACAACAACATCTGACAATCCCTGTTTCTTGGCAGCAGATGAGCGTTAACACTCATCTTATTCTGGATTAGCCTGAAGATTATTCCACAATTAACCCCCGTCAGCCTCACCCAGTCTGTGGTGAACGGGGCTCCATTGGCCATCAGAGCTTTGACATCATCATCCTGTCCAGTTCGCGCCGCCTCCAGCAGCTGCTGCCCGAGATACATCAGTGACATCTGCAGGCAGGCCGGAGGAACACTGTGACGAGACGTTAGAGAGACGAAGAGAAACATCTGAACTGAGCAGCAGCTGATGTTTCTGTGGGCATTGTTTCTTTTGTGGAAATGTATTATAATACACAGTATTTTAACACTTTTCAAATCCTAATCTTGACAAACCAATATCTTCCTTCAGATTTATAGGAAATCTTTCAAAGGCGGACTTTTTACTGCAGTGCTGAGATGACGGACAGGAAATTAATCAGCACGTTTGATAACCTATTAATCATTTAAAATATTTATCAAGCAAAAATGCCAACCTAGTTTCATGTGTGAGTAAGTGCGGGCTCTATGAAAACATGTGTATGTACTTTAGATAGATAGATACTTTATTTATCTCGAGGGAAATTCAAGCATCCAGTAGCATACAAACATAAATTAAACATACAATTAAAATTAACCTATAGCACAGTAGCCATACATTAAATTGGATAAATTAAACTTTTGCAGAGGAATTAAATATGTGCAGAGAGAGAAAATAAACTAGAAAAATAGAAATGAAGCAATTAAAATAAGGCCGTCGACCGATGAATGAAACTTTAGGAATCAAAAGTAAAATAACTGACCATTAACAAAAGTAGTTCCTGTCAGTGTAAGATTATTATCTATGTATTACTTTATTGGATTATTATTAGTGATGCATTAATGTGAACCAGCGCTTTATGTTGCAGCTGGTTAACGTAGAGGAACAGATGAAATGCACTGTATTTTATAAGATCATCACATTTAAATAAAGTGACAAACTAACTGCAGCTGTTTCATTTAGTGGAAAATTTAAATATTGATATCTATAAAGCAGCACAAAACGGAAACATGCAAGTAAAGTACATCTACCTCAAAATAAAAGTTAACTTCCACCACTGCAGTCATGTTTCATTGTTGTTGAGTGTAATGTGAGTAATTACAGTGTGAAATAATAAGCATTTAAATAAGGAATAGCTTTAATAGGTCATCATTTAAACTGACTTGGAGATATTATCGCCCATATACAGCAACCCCATAATGAGAGGAACTATGACAGACTCATCAATCAACTCTTTGCAAAAATATTTTAGATTTTATTGATTTTTTTAAACCGAAATGAA